GGCCCTGGTTGGTCGTGCGGGTGGCAGCCACTCGATGTGTCCCTTCACGTCGATGTTTCTCACTCTCTCTCCCTTCCTCTCTCTCCCTCCCATTCTATCTGTACAAAAAATGGAAAAATATCCTCGGGTGAGGATAAAAAAAAAAAAAAAAGAAGAAGGTTAACGGTCTTGGGTGAGAAGTATTGAAGCCCTACAAGGGATAGTGTTGGTAGAAATAGAGATTTTGTAGGTAGAAGCCATATAATTTGGCAGTTGATTAGATGGATAAAGGACGCAAGCTGTTTGACCTGTGTGGGAACAGGAGAATGGTGAGAACATCAAAAGAAATGGAAAAGAGATGCAAGAGCCTGTGCTATTCCAGGGAGATGGAGAGATACTTTAATTTGGTTGTATTTGAATGAAATACTGGCAGGATAGCTAGGTAGAGGAGTTAAACATTATTTTGAGAGGTGTATGTATGGGGACAGTACTTTTATGTCTAAAACCCAGCAAGGAGGTTTCTGCCTTCGTTGTCTGCATGTCAGTCAGCAGCATCCAGCACTTTGGTAGGCCATGGATAGAACACACAATAAAGTTTTGTTTTTAAAATTTAAATATCTACAATATTCAATAGTTGTTGACATTTTGGCAAACTTGTTTCTTCTGTCTTCCCCTATTAAATTCCTTAATATTATCTGAAACCCAGTCTATGTTCAGACTTCTTTGATTATATAAAAAAATGTGTTTTTACAGATTTTCTTGATTAAAAAATTAGTGCATTTGGTTGATAATTAACATGAGTCTCTTTTATAATGCCCCCCACCCCCATTTACTTGAAGAAAATGGGTGACTTTACCTGTAGATTTTTCCATATTCTCGGTTTGGCTAATTGCACCTTTTAGGTGTCATTTAAGTTGTTTCTTTGTTCAGTATATGTCCTGTAAACTGGTAGTTAGGTCTGAAGCTTGATTCTATTCAGTCTTTTTTTTTTTAAGGGCATGGGATCTTAATAGGTGGTGCTGTATTTCCTATTTGTAGCACATAAAGAGGCATAAACCACCTAGGTGTCCCACTTTTAGAAATGGTAACTTTGATTCAGATGTTGCTTAATCCATATGCTGTAATATTTTTACATCAACCAAACTTTCATCTAAGGCTTTAGCAGCTAGTGATGATTATTGCAGAGGGTTGGAAAATTGTGACATTCTAATTGTCATTTTTTCTGCATTTATTAACTGGGATTTTTTTCTGTAAAGAAGAACTTGTCCACATTGACTCTTTGGCTATCCTGGAATATGGTTCATACAGGATATACAAATTGGATATGTGCTTAATTCTTTTGTCAGTCTTCAGAATAATGAAGTTTTTGAAAGTATTGTGAATGCATGGATTTATATATTTGATATTTTTCAATTCATTTGCAATATGTATGGTATGTATGTATTTTTATATTCTAATTATTCCATCTTTGGCCAGTAAGAGCCCCTTTAAGTTGACATCTGTGTTCTTTTGCCATGACCTTATTCATCTTTGACAGATTTCTTGCTTTTGATTCCACGAACATGTCCTAGGGTCATCTTGAAATTTCTTGTCCAGACTTGGAAATAGCCATTTTTTCAAGAAGCTCAAGTTCAGTCCTGGCTGGTTTGGCTCAGCAGTTGGAGTGTTGGCCTAAGGACCAGTGAGTCGTGGGTTTGATTCTAGCCAAGGGCACGTCCTTGGTTGTGGTTTGTCCCCGGCCCTGTTCGGAGTCGTTCTGGAGGCAACCAGTGGATGTGTCCCTCTCATGTGATCTCTCTCTCTCTCTCTCTCTCTCTCTCTCTCTCTCTCTCATTGTATCTGAAGGTAAAGTAGAAAAATGTCCTCAGGTGAGGATTAAAAAAAAGAAGCCCAAGTTCAAAGAGATTTTTGAGAGAATAGGATTTTTACTTTGAGAAGCTATAAAAGAACAAGACAAGATAGAATACAGTCATGTAAAATTATAGCAGTGTTCTCGCAATGTGTTTGGGACCATAAATGCTGCAGGAAATACCAGTGATTCCTGAAACATTTGGGTAGTCCCTTTGGAAGAGGTAAGACTGGAGGTGAACTATCAAATAGAGGAGAAAATGAAAATTCATATGCCCATTGTAGGGGAGAAATTGTTAGGAGGCATGAAAGAACATGTGAGTGGGATAGCAAAGAAGCTCGACTAGAGCACAGAGTACCTAGACTTTGGTCTTGACTTTGTAAGCAATGGGGAATGAGAGAAAGTTGTTGAGTTTGGAAGTGAGATTGAAAGTCATGCTTTGGGAAGGGTAATATCACAGCAGAGTTAGGCAGTTTTATAAAGCAGGGTTCTCAGATGGAGATTTGCAACATAATCTTTGGGAAATCAAACCCCAGCTGGGGCCTATCTCAGAACTATCCAATACCAGTCTGGGGAGTTTAGGCTCATTTGCTTTTCTAAAAACATTAAATTTATTGAGGTAACATTGGTTAATTACATCATATAAATTTCAGATGTACAGTTTTATGATACTACGTCTGTATGCATTTATCACCCAAAGTCTATCTCCTTCTGTCACTGTCACCATATACTTTTCAAAAGACCCTTGCATGATTGTTTTATCAACCCTAATTAAAACTAAAAGTTCAAAGATCAGTTCCGCTATTCCAAGTATGCTATACATGAGGTAGTAAGGACATAGATTGGGATAATGGCAATGGGAATGAAAAGAAGGAAGGGATAGAAAATGCAAATTCATTTAAAAAATTTTCATATGGCATTTCATTAATGATATTAACACTTAATGAAATAATTCAAAGATAAGGAAACAGATGACTCTAAAATTTATGGTATGGGGCCAGATATAAATAGGAAGATTGGCAGGTATTGCTAGTTTAGGGGAGAAAGTAACAGGACATGTTGAGTGTTGAGATGATAATGGCTGTGTATCAAAGTGAACTCTGGGGGTTGAAATGTGTTCTCTTTTCCTGAATGCTTCATTCATTCTCTCTTGGCAAAGTACGGTACTCAACTTAGTGACTATCGGGCATGCTATATTGATTGGGAGGGTTACAAACTCTAAGCTTTCATTTGAAAAATGCGATCACAATAAAAGTTTGATACATTTAAAAAAATTATTTGTTTAATATAAAATAAAATGGGAAAGGGACTGGAAAAAAACATTGTAGCAAATATAAAAAAATAATTCAATAAATATTGTAATCATTTGAAACAAAAACAAAGTCAGTAAATCAGGCAAAATATTGAACAGACAATTTTTACAACTGGAAAATACAGTTCATTAATTCATTCTTTCAACAAACGTTTACTGAGTTCCTTCATCAGGTACTGTTCTAAGTGCTAGCAAATAATATCTCTGAACATTCTGGTGGTGGTAGTGTGGGAGAGATGGACAATAGATGTGTTTCAAAAAATAAGACTTTCAAATAGTGATAATGCTGTTGAAAAAATAGGTAATGAAGTAGAGAGTAGCTTTTAGTTTTTATTTCTATATATTTGTTTATGCCTTTTCTTGTGGAAAACATTTGTAGTTGTGCAACTGGAGGTTAGCAGTCCTAATCTCTACTTAATTATGTGGGAAAAAATTGGCCAGATTTAAGTTCTGCTTGGATTTTCTGATAATTGGACTCAAAAGTATTTTTCTTTTCTTTTTGTTTGGTTCTTGAAGATGTTTATATAATGGATTGAGTACAGATTGAAATCTGATTTTTTTTTTTTTTTAATCCTCACCCGAGGCCCTGTCCGGTTTGGCTCAGCGGTTAGAGCGTCGGCCTGCGGTCCGGAGGGACCCGGGTTCGGTTCCCGCTAAGGGCACGTACCTCGGTTGCAGTTTGTCCCCGGCCCTGGTTGGTTGTGCGGGTGGCAACCACTCGATGTGTCCCTTTCACATCGATGTTTCTCTCTCTCTCTCTTCCTCTCTCTCACTCTCACTCTATCTGAACAAAAAATGGAAAAATGTCCTCGGGTGAGGATGATAAAAAAAATAATAATAATAATCCTCACCCGAGGACATTTTTGCATTTTTCTTCAGATAGAGTGGGAGGGAGAGAGGGAGGAACAGAGAGAGAGAAACATCCATGTGAGAGAGACACATCAAGTGGTTGCCACCCACATGACCCCAACCAGGCCGGGGACAAACTGCAACTGAGGTACGTGCCCTTAGCAGGAACCGAGCCTGGGACTCTCTGGTCTGTGGGCCAACGCTCTGACTGCTGAGCTAAACTAGCCAGGGCTGAAATCTGCTTTTTCTTGTGGAAATTACATATGTGTGTTCTTTTCACAGAATAGTGTTTGTTATATTCTGTTGGAAGGGAAACTATTCCTCTGAAAAATGCTCACATTTTTTCCCGTGAAAAACATGAAGTTCAGTGCATTTCTTTAAACTAATGCCGTTTATGTAGATGGGAATTTACTTGTGTAAGGAACTCTAACAAATACACGTTTTGTGTTTTTCATCTGTTACTGAAGATTGATTTGGAGAAACAGCAAGATAGATGCCTGTTACTTTGCAGTTATCTATATTTTTTATTACTGAGTTTACGGACTTTTTAGATATGGTAAATAGGTAATGGAGTAGGAAAACAAATTTCAGTTTAAATTTTCTTTAAAAATTTTTTTTTCTCCTTTATTGATTTTAGAGAGAGAGGAAGTGAGAGAGAGAGATAGAAACATTGATGAGAGAGGACATCGATTGGCTGCTTCCTACATGCCCCACACTGGGGATCAGGCCCACAACCTGGGCATGTGTTCTGATCGGGAATTGAACTGGCAACCTCTTGGTGCATGGGTCGACACTCAACCACTGAGCCACACTGGCTGGACTGGACTTAGTTTTAATTTTCTAATTGATAATTTACTGTTGAGAATACAAGATTTACAGTGAAGAAATTGAATGGAGTTTTTAGAAATGGAAACAGAAATAGTCTTAAGATATAAGATAATAGCTCTTATACTCAAGTTAGCCATTCTTTAATTCTGATTACCTTCAATGGATTTTTTTTTCTTTTTAAAGGAATCTTGAACATAACTTCAAAAGAAGATTTGATCCTTTATTTCTGGACTGCAGTTATATAACAAGACCATCACAATGTCGGGAGCATCGGTGAAGGTGGCTGTTCGTGTTCGGCCTTTCAATTCTCGAGAGACCAGCAAAGAGTCCAAGTGCATCATTCAGATGCAGGGCAACTCGACTAGTAAGTACATGTTGTTTTTTCTATCAGTTAATATCTCACTTTTCTATTCTTCCTTCTTTCCCTTCTTGCTGTTCATTTATCAGAATAAATGAACATTTGGGCATTACCATTTTGAACTTTACTATTTTGAATGATCCATTGAATGCTTCCCCCCCATGGTATTTTTCTAGCAAATTTAAATGTGAACTATTTATTTTGTTCTTTACAATTGAGAAATCCCTGGAGAACTGAACCAATTTAGCTAGTGTTATTAAGTAGAAATCTTAATCATAATAAAGATGTAAGCAGTGATTTTTACTAAATGATAGCATGAAATATACCTGTTTAGGTGTCAAGACTATATAATTTTTTCTTGATTTTAAATAGCACTTCAGCTTGCCAAAATAGTCTTAAAACTCTTACAATGGTTCTTTGAATTAAACAACAGCTATAAGCCCTGGCCGGTTTGGCTCAGCGTTTAGAGCGTCGGCCTGTGGTCCAGAGAGACCCGGGTTCAGTTCCCGCTGAGGGCCCCTACCGCGGTTGCGGTTTGTCCCTGGCCCTGGATGGGTTGTGCGGGTGGCAACCACCCAATGTGTCCCTTTCACGTCGATGTCTCTCTCTCTCTCTCTCTCTTCTGAACAAAAAAAAAAAAAGGAAAAATGTCCTCCGGTGAGAAAAAAACAAAAACAATAACAGCTTTAGCTATAATATATAGTAAACTTATAAATTATTACTAAAATCATGTCATTGTTTCCCAGCTTGTTTTTGTATATAATTGCATAGCTGAAAAATGACTTAAGCGGATTTCTTTTGTACTTGCATTAATAATTACTTGATAAGAATATGTAGCCAAATTATTATTGAAAATAGTGGTAGATCCTACCATCTTGAAACCTGTAGCTTTGTGATAAAGCAATTCTTTTTTACCTTATTTTGATTGTATAGAAAATAATGTCAGTTAGAGGGGAAAAGTAAAATTACCCAAATATGATATTCACTCTGGATGGAGGATTTCAGATGTTTTCACTTGTGGTAGATAGCAAACTGAAGAAGAAAATAAGATTTCTGGTTGGACACCTATTTAGGATAGGGCCATAAAATTTAGATTTTGTGAAGATAAAAGTTGTATTCACTCTTTCTTGGTTATATTCCACAAGAAAAATTCAGAACTACTGAAAATATTGATGACTTTTGATAAAATATTAAAATATTTTTATTATAAGTATTTAATACTTTGGTTAAAGTAGTTCTGGATATATTTTACTAGTGCTATGAAAACCAGTTTGTGGACCACCTTAAGGGCAGTGCCGAACTACTAATGACTTTTCATTATATTTTGTCCAAAACTTTTCTAGACCATAGGCTGAGTAGTTCTGCTCTGCCCTGCCCTTTCTGAATTTCCCTTCCTCTTTTGAGAGTCTACTATAATGTGTATCTGAGGGATTACAGAGTTGTAAGTACCGTAGGACGCTGCCCATAAGGAGTTTTTAGTTTGTGGTAGGAGAGACAAAACACACTAAAATAACCTCAGTACAAAATAAAAGTGGCCCATGGTGATAAGTGCCATAAATAAGAGTTTTATTTTTATTATTTTAATCCTCATCCAAGGATATTTTCCTATTTATCTTCAGACAGAGTGGGAAAGAGGGAGAGAGAGAGAGAAACATCGATGTGAGAGGAGGGACACATCGACTGGTTGTCTCCCGCACGACCCAGACCAGGGACAGACTGCAACCTAGGTACATGCCGTTGGCCAGAATTGAACCTGTGAGTCATTGGTCTGCAGGCTGATGTTCTAACCACTGAGCAAAACTGGCCAGGGCTAAAAAAGAGTTTTAAAAAAGTGCAGATATGAGTTTGGCAAAGGGCACATGTAAGAGTCATAGATGATAGGGTATTTCAGCTAGACCTTGAGGAATAAGTAGAATTTAAACTAAACATCCATTGTGGGGAAATTTTCAGAATTGTAGCTTGTTAGAATTTACTTGTGCTATGACTAGATACTGGTACTCCTGACCATCATCTGGCTTTAACAGGTTGCCTATCGCACATAAACGTTCAGCATGAGTAATTTGACTTGTAAATTAGCATTATTCTACTGAAACAGAAATCCTCATGAGCTGAATCGATCAGCCGTTGAAAAAGTAGGGCCACTTTTTTAGCTAAATACTTATTTTGTCATGGCTCAGGGCTTGGTGTGATTTTGGTTCCTTTGAAAGGTGTTTGTTCTTAGAAAGTTGTCTAATTGTATTAGAGATGTTTTCCTCTAGGATTTTTGGCATTTTTGGTTTTCTGCTATCATTTTCTATTTTTGTTTTTTATTTTACATGGCACTTTATTAGTAATTTGACTAATATGTAATCCAAATAATTTTTATGTGAGATATTTTAAGTGTGCCACTTGCTATGTTTAGAAAGTATTAATAGCTTTTAAAAAAAATTAGATTTAAGATTGGGAGAGAACCAGCATTTTGAACCTAGAATTGTTGGAAAAATGAAATGAATTTGCTACAGCTGCACGTGTTCGCTGTTTTAAAAGACTTCTGTGCTGGCAAGCTGGCCTCGACGGCTGCTCACAGGGATTATGGTGATTGCAGCTGGAGTGCCCTGGAGTGTCCCTGCCATCAGATCTCTTGTGGAAAAGTAGAAGAGGGTGAAGGGTATTTTAAGGACTCTGCCTGATCTGAAAACTGAGTAGTAGCAGTTTTTTTGTTGCTTTTTAAAATCTCACCCAAGGAGCCCTGGCCGATTTGGCTCAGTTGTTGGAGCGTAGGCCTGCAGACCAGAGAGTCCCAGGTTCGGTTCCCGCTAAGGGCATGTACCTTAGTTGCAGTTTGTCCCCAGCCCCGGTTGGGGTCATGTGGGTGGCAGTCACTCAATGTGTCTCACACGTTGATTTTTCTCTCTCTTCCTCCCTCTCTCCTTCCTGCTCTATCTGAAGGTAAATGCAAAAACAAACAAACAAAACAAAACAAAAACTCACCCAAGGATATTTTTCCATTTATCTTCAGATAGAGTTGGGGTTAGGGAGAAACATTGACATGAGAACGACCAGGTCCGGGATGAACTGCAACCAAGGTACCTGCCCTTGACTGCAATCAAACGCGACTCATTGGTCCTTGGGCTGACACTCTAACCCTTGAGCCAAACCAGCCAGGGCATAATGTTTACTCTTTACATCGCATGTCCACATTGGTTAAGTGATAGTCACTGGAATGTTAGAAGGTAAATAGGAAGATAAAGAGACATACAGCAAAGGAAAAAGAGGTCAGTAAAATATATTGGGATCAACTTGAGCACCAGAGGCACTTATCCTGTAATGTCAGGACTTGGAGCTATAGCAGTGTAGGGTGTGTGGGGGTGGGGGGTTAGGGGGAGAGTTCAATTGTCCTAGAAATGATACTACATTTACTCAGTTAGTGGTTGAAACCAAGTTTGTCCTTGAGAATTACTTTTGGAATGGGTATATAAAGGGAGATTATCCCTTAGTGTCAGTGTTGGGGAAGGCTGTCACCTTTGAGGTCCCTTCTTTAGCACAGGCCTGTCGGCTGGCCACTGACTTTGCTGTAGACCTTTTTACATTTGGATCCTTCTTCTGCACCCCGTCTTTTTTTTTTTTTTCTTTTAAACCTTACCCGAGGATATTTTTCCATTTATCTTGAATTTACTTTACCTTTCTCTTGTCATTTGCTACATATTTTTTTCTGAATGTCTCTTTTTTCAAATATCTTGGAAATATTTACAAAACATTTATTTAAACGCTTTCTTTTGAAGGTATGAGAGCAAAATGAGGCTTGGAGACTCAGGAGTGCCTGGCTTAAGTTCCTTGTTTTTTGTAGCAAATAGTAGCATATTGCTATTCTTCCCACATACTGACAACTTCTCTAACTCTTGCTGAGGCATCATCCTCTGGTGTTTTCCCTAGTGCAGTTATACTGTATTGGTCTTCATCATAGTTTAATGCCTTACTTAGGGGGGGAAAACACAGTAAAGGAAGACAATTTGTTAGTTCTTGTAATGCAGGTTCTACTTTCCTTACCCCCTGTTTCAGAACAATTTATTGAACATATTTATTCAGTATATCCATAAATAATATAAATCAATCAGTTCTAAAATTAAAATTGTTTTTTCTTTATTTATTTTAGAGAGAGAGGAAGGGAGGGGTATAGATAGATAGAAATATCCGTGAGAGAGAACATAGATTGGCCATCTCCTGCTTACCCCTGACTGGGGATTGGGCCCACCACTTGGGCATTTGCCCTGACCGGGAATCCAACTGGCGACCTCTTGTCACATGGGTCAGTGCTTAACTACTGAGCCACACCAGCTGGTCTCAGTTCTAAAAGTTAAAGAACACATAACGCCCTTTATTTTCCAAACAAAAGCAGTTGACAAATTGAAAATTCCGAAAGCACAAAGCAGAAAGCAAAATCACTCCTAATCTTACCACTCAGAGAGAGTTATTACTAACATTTTGTTGGATATTTCTCTCACTTTTCCTTGTACCCTCACATATTAAATCTGTTATATAATTGGATCATTTTATATGTATATATATTCTTATAACTTGCTTTTTTCCATTTTTAATTTTTTAATGTAATTAAATGTTTTCTGCATAACTTGTAACATATAAAATTTCCTAATATGGATATATCACAGTTAAATAACTGATTAACTAATTTTGTTGTTATTTTTTCCTTCTTCTATTTTATGTAAGTAACATTGTGATAAACATTCTGGAAGAGAAATGTTGTGTACATTTGCTGAGCAAAAAATTCTTAAAATAGGGATTACTTGGTCAAAGATACCAAATTTAAAAATAACTTTTATAGGTATTTAAAGGGGAGTAATATATCTATAGGTATGTTTTATAGAAAGTTTTTTTTTTTTTGGCCCTGGCCGGTTTGGCTCAGTGGTTGATGCGTTTACCTGTGGTCTGGAGAGATCCGGGTTCGGTTCCCGCTCGGGGCACATACCTCGGTTGCGGTTTGTCCCCGGCCCTGGTTGGGTCGTGCGGGT